TCTCCCAGAGGCTTAATCTTCTCATGATTTGTTTGAATAAAATCTGTTCAAGGGTAAGAGCTTTTTCATTTACTGCTGCTTTATAGCTCTGTCCTTTCTAGTTCCACATACCTTAGTAATTCTTGTTACTAGACCATTTGAAAGCAGGAAGTCTTCAGTACATTTTGGAAAAATGCTTTCATTGCAAGATTACATGTTGAAATATAAAGTCTCTATGTTGCATATTTCTCTTGGGTGAATCAGGGGTATAAATAAACACATACAGGGAGGTAAGAAAATAGAAACAGGCCCAAAAATCTAAACAACCACCTAGAATCTCAAGTACTGATATAACTTTGTATTTGGGGACATTCCTCCTTCATCCATAACAAAACAGTTTTGAATCCTCTCAGAAGGTATTTACTGACAATAATTTATCTCCTTGAGTATTGAAATAAAAATGATTGTGTTGTGGAGTTGCTTAGAAACTCAATGTATTATGTTAATCCAAATTTGGCTGTATTTTCACTGCTTTTTGTACTTCTGCTGGGTGCTGAGGCATTACAGTGTGAGGCTTCTTACAATATGCTGATTGATTTTCACTGAACAAAAAAAGAATGCTTCCAAAAAGCAAGTCTGCAGATCACTTTGCTTCTCCATCAGTGGTGTTTTTCTAAGTAACACTGAAACTGGCTTCCCATACCAAGCTTTAAGTTTAAGTAAGTTTCAGATCTGAAAACGCTGGGAAGGAGCAAAACATGTATCATGGATTTTCAGACTAGGGAAAAAGTAAGAAGGCAACCAGATTGCAAGTGATTTAAACTGCTGCAGTGCATGGGTATCTTGGGCCAGCTTAAGATAGGACCTACTTCTTCACATCCAGTTCCCACAGATGGAGTTGAAGCTAGAGGAACATATGGGCAGCTCTCACCTGTAAACTGGTAAGTTTGGTCATCTCCATCTGCTTACAGCATAGGGCTGGTAGTTTTAAACACTATCTCCATCCTCTGAGAAGCATACCATTAGAACACTAGCAGTGACTTGTACCCTATGTGCATTAAAGGAATGCAGTCCTGCTTTAAGCAGAAGATAGAACAAGAAAACCTCACAAGATCCCCTTCACCCTGGACGACCCCATCATTCTAAGGCTGGTCTGATACATTTTGTGGCATGAGGAGCCAATGTCACTCACAAAATCTGAATTCATCATTTGGTCCTCAGTCTGTGTGAATGTGCATATATGTAAGATATGCGCATGTATGTAACATACTGGAGAAATCATGTAGTTTGCCCACTATGTCTGCTGTGAAATACTGGCCCCAAACTTTTAGGGATTGAAAGCTATAATGTTCAAAACTCAAAAGTTTGCCATGGCAGTGCAGATGCTGGGTGCCTCCTCTGTCCTGTGACAGCTGAACATCTCTCCCTGTTTGAATCCTATCAGTGACAGGATGAGCAGCTTGTGTAAAGACCAGGAGGCTCATGAATGATGGAATCACAGTAATACAGAATATCCTGAGTTGGAAGGAACCTGTGAAGATCACTGAATCCAATTCCTGACTCCACACAGCACCACCTAAAATTCTAACTCGACGTCTAGAAGCATTGTCCACACACTCTTTGAACTCTGTCAGCTCAGTGCCTGTTCCATGCCCACCAACCTCTTGATAAAAGCCCTTTCCTAACAACCACCTGACCCTCCCGAAGTTGCACCCAGTGCAGGAGGTGAGGCAGCACAGCACAGAGCAAAGTGGCACAATCTCTCCCTTTGCCTGATGGCAGTGCTGGGCTTAATGCACCCCAGGCTGCTGTTGGCCTTTGGGCTGCCTGGGCACACTGCTGCCTCATGTTTACTTTGTTGTCGACCAGGATCCCCATATCTCAGTGAGGCTGCCCTCCAGCATCACATTCCCCAGTTTGCACGTATAGCTGGGGTTGCCCCATTTCAGCTGCAGAATTTGGGACTTACTCTTGTTGAACTTCAGGTAGTTGGTGATTGTTCGGCTTTCTAATTTGTTAAGCTCTCTCTGCCAGATGCAGATCTGCCAATATTTATACAAAAATCTAGGCATACATAGTTCTTATCATGTTCTAGCCCTGTTACAGGAGCAGAAAGCTAAAAGAGATCTAAAAGAGACAGAGCAGAAGTGACAGTGTGAATGAATGTAGAGCGTACCTCACAGATCACAACTTCAGAGGAAAGCACAGATATGCAAATTTTCCTTCCTTGTGTATTTGTGTGTTTAGGGTTATGAGAAGCAACAGGATTGTACCCCAGTACACAGAATTTCCTCTCTGAGATATCAGATTGTTCTGGCTTTGGCTTATTTCATTTAGAACATGCTTGCACATGCAGATCTTTTGGTCTTGATAATATTGTTCTCTTCCCCTGGCTGAGGAATCCATGAGATCTGAAATAACCTCTCCTGGGCTATAAAGGAGTGAGATGGATAATACGCCACAGTCTTCGATGAAATATAATCCTTATTATTTCTACAATAAAGAGAATGACTAAGTCACTTAAAAAAGACCATGCTGACCTTTTATTTCAATGCATTATTTTGTTTTGTATATAAATACAAGAGCAATTTTCAAAAAGTTCATGCTATTGAAACGATTAACAAGCACTTGTGACTTAGTATTTTGTAAACATAATAAAATTTTGAGTAAGAGCAAGACCTTTTTACATCTGTGCCATTTGTCAAATGTATCTAAAGTGCCCATTGCAAATGACATTCTTCACAACAGGACTGTTTGAGAGTGGGGACAGCAGAGTCTGGGAGAGGCACTGAGATGTGGCTTTCCTTCCTTGCATTAATCTGTGTTCAGGTGTCTTGTTCTTGCACAATGTTAAATGGAATTTCTTGCAATTGCTCAATGGCAGTCACTCAACAATCTATGGAGTTTCTCCTGCAGACAAGAAACTTGTTAGTAGGGCTAAAGGGAGCAGGAGCTGCCTAAATACAGGAAAAGGCAAGGTATGATTCAACTTGTTACAGTTATTTCATTTCCAATTAAGCCAAGGCCCAGTAAAATTTACCATGTATTATTTCCCTTCCTAGGTCACAGCTCCATCTGCCATCTCCCTATGGGCACTTAAGGTACAGTGTAGAGAATTATAAACACAGCTGGGACATTCAGCACTTGTTGCTGTTGAAGATCGCAGAGCCACCAAGTGGATGAGGTTGGCAGGAACCTCAGGAGAATGTCTAGCCCAACCCCTGCTCAAGCAGGTTGCCCAGGACCATGCCCAGGTGGGTGTAGAAGATCTCCCAGGAGGAGACTCCACAACCTCTCTGGGCAGCCTGTCACTGTTCTGTTGCTTCACAGTAAAGAGTTGCTTCCAGAGTGTTTCCTGATGTTCACACAGAATCTCTTTGCAGATTGTCTCTTGTCCTGTCACTGGGCACCCATGAAAAGAGTCTGGCTCCTCCATCACTGAATGGACTTGGCTTTGGAGAGAGGAGTATAACCTCACTATGTGCCATATGGCTTAGAACTGTCCTTCAGGAAATTAGCTTGCTTAGGCTTTATTATCAGAAAATAATAATGAAGGATACATCTGTACTAGTTTGTTGCATAGGCTGAAGAAAAGTTATCCATACTTACCAATAGCACCATCCATATTTCCGATAGGACTAGCCACAGGTATTATTATTCTTGTTCTCATAAGGCTGTAGGAATATCTCTTTGTGTGCCTTACACTTTCAGGATATGGGTACCTTGTCTAGAGGCGGGAGCACCATTTTTTATGGTGCTGAATATCTCCTTAACCAATTCAAGTCATCTGTCCCAGGTGGTTAGGGTAAGAAGCAGAAATCCTTCATGTTGTGCAAGCAGTTTTCAGCAATAGCTAAAACACTGATCTGTGAACAGGTAAAACATCTGTGTGATACCAACATTGTTTTGGTAACAAGTACAAAATACAGCACCTTACCAGCTGTTATCTGGAAAACAAACTCCATCCATACCGTGTTTCCTTCTGGAGGTTTTACTTCTCACAGTGCTAACAGACTAACAGAGCAGCCCTTATGTATGTTGGCATGAATTGCAGTTTTTTTAGTTTTTTGGTTTTTTTGTTTTTTACCATGACCATGTATTAAACAGCCACATTAAAGACTATTTTGCACAAGCAGTTCTGACTTTAAAAATAATCCAGATTGCATGAACAAATGAATGTACGTAGCTGTGTGTATAAAAATTCTAGCACATACATTATGAATATTAAATTCCTATTGATTTACATTTAAAATTATTTTATTTATTTGTATTTTACCAACATTGTTTAATATAACCACAGTTAAAATAAATTCACAGTTATTTGCTTCCCAATTAATGTGTGTCATCCACAGCTGCCATGAGCAACTGTGCTCCCAGATCTCTCCCAGAACTACAACCTGGTCATCTGTCTGTATCAGCTCTATCTGGAAATAAGGACTGACTGAAAAAGCAGGGTAACAAACCGAGAGCAGATAGTTAAAAAGGCAGAAGGAGAAAGAATCTTGATTTTCAGTTTAAAAAAAAAAATAAAATAATGCTATTATACTGTAACTCTGGGAATTTGTCAAACACGCAGGATTTGCTAATTTGAAGTTGAAAAGCTTAGCAGAAGTGACACTCTCTTGCATGTTGTTTCCTCCACCACTTGTGCAGGCTGTAGTAGGATGTAATTAAACATTTTAGAAATGCTTAATTCCCTCCAGTCTGTTCAAAGCAGTGCGAAAGCCACATCTTAACACTGTGCTGCTCCACCTGGCTTAGTTTGCTTGCTCACTTTTAAGCCTTCACGCCTGGCATTAGGTTCTCACCTTCAGCGATACCTTCTAGCGATTACAGAGATTTGCTCTGACCTTCATATTCACTGCTCCCTGCTATCCTTTGCCGGTTGGAATTGGAACTGGCATTGTCGGTCCTGCAGCGATTTTGCCTGAACCAGTTCCATTAGTTCAGATCCACGCACCTCGACACACGGTCCAGCCACTAGAGGGGGCAGAGACTTGCACTGGGGAAACAGCTTAAGATGAGATTTTGTGCAATGCATTACTTACGTGGCTTCGTCTTTCAGAGGAAAACCGGTCAGACAGGAGACTGGAAAGCAAAACCTGAAGCAGACTTTCAGGCTGGCAGTACAACAGCTTGCTAGGAGAGGTAGGTCTGTGTACCTGGGTGTTACTCTTCTCTGCCAGTAATACAGGGTGAGCTCTCCTCCATGGAGCAGTGCTAAGAATGCAAACAATTATACTGGTGAAATACTTTGAGATACTGGGAGATATTGGAGTCTCACACAACAAATCTGATGCTAGCACCCAGCACCCCCTCCTGTCTTTTGAAGCACTGCAGTTGTTTGCCATGCTGAAATTAAGGAGCCAAACCTTTTCCTAGCTCTTTAGGTTGGTTTGGTTGGCTCTGTATCAAAGTCACAAGCTTGGTAATAAAAATGGTGTATGCACGGTGTATGCAAAAAGTACTTATAAACCTAGTGAGGACTTCCCCTGAACGTAAAATACGAGGGCAATTCCAAAAGTAATGCCTCCTATTTTATTGTGCTCTTTGTAATTATGCTCTTTGTATCTACTGTAGTTTCCAGGGAAATAAATAGGAGGCATTACTTTCAGAGCAATCAATGTAATAAATGCTTCCTGTGCAGCATCATTTGCTGTGGGCTGGTTGCTCACTCTCCTGTGCTGCTTTACAATCTCCCTAGCCTAATTTGGCAGAAAGGAGACAAGTATGTTCTCTCATTTATGAACTGGCTGGAAGGCATCTGGGATTTCATAACAGAGTAAAATAAATTGTAAGCTAGAAAAATTGAACAGTTTGTCTTGTTGTTTGAGGGCATTAAGTGGGGACTCCACAGGAAGCACCAGCTTCTAAAATGTCTGTTGAAATACCGCATTGAAAGAACATTTCCTGTCAGGCAGACAGTGGCACTTTAGCTGGAAACAGTGAAAATTCACTGTTTCGAATGAAACAGGATTCAAATGAATGAATATTAAGTGCTACTGCTGTTGCCATGCTGCTGTGGATACCTGAGAGTATTGACGATAAAGAAGTTTTAATCAATCATGGTAATTTACTTTCCAATTTTGTCTTTCACTTAGATCAACAGATCGTGGTGAGACTTTCTATGATGCTAAGAGTGAAGTGATTTCCAGGTTAGTAAAATATGATTGTTATTGACTTCTTGATTATATGATTAATGACTTCTTGAATATATGATCTGTAAAGCCATACCACTGTGTCTTATAACACTTTTAAATTGAAAATGGTGGTTATGTTTGAAGCTAACAATGCTCTAATTCAAGTATGTAATAGAAATGTTAGTTAAGAGGCCTTAATGGGAAGAAAAGAGTGAAAGAGCCAAAATAATTTTTAACATGTAAAACATCAACAGCTGGTTTTTTGGAGATGAGGATCAGGAAAACCAGAAGACGAGATGGGAAAGAAGAACGTATTTCTGCCTGTGGTGGGAAATGAAACCCACAGACTGCCAAAAGGAATTGTCAGAGGTGGCTCCTGTAGTCATCATTAGCAATAAAAGCAGAACACACACAGATCTAAAACTCTCCAGGTCATGTCAGCCTTAAAGGACACTACAGGGACAGATTAGTCAGAAACGTAGACAACCAGCAGCACTTCAGTAGCCAAGGAAAATGTTCTTCATTAAATACAGTCTTAACAATGCATTGCTATTTGATCTTTTGGTAAGCTCCTTCCACTATTGTGAATATGTAGCTTTAAAGTGCTCTTTCATTGCAAAACTCAAATAGTGTTAAGAATGACAGGATGATCTGACACAAGGCATACTGTTCCCAGGGGGATGGGAGTCTTTAAACCCTAGTTAGAAACTATTGTCATAGTTACCAGTACAAGCCAGCTATACCAAAAGATGCACCTGCATGAAGGTATTCACAGCTTCAGGGTTTTTGCATACAGAGCTTTGGGGTTTTTTTTTTGCTGATTGCCAAAAGATGATGGGAGTCCAAATTATGGATTAAATGCCAGTGCCTCAGGAACGAGCCTACAACAGGTGAAACACTAAAAGATGCAATAATGTACACACATTTACCATGATTTTCTCACGTGAATGGTCGCACGGAATTCAGTACTGCTTCTACAGAAGGCACTGATATGCACTAATACATGTCCCATGCCCCCAAGAAACAACTCCTCTTTTTTTCTCTCTCCTTCCCTTGAGTTGGCAGAGGATTATAGCCTGCGTAGAAGTATTTTCTTTTCAGTTGTTCAGTTGCGTAAATTTTTATTAATTTTTCTGCTCGTTAACTTTCTCAAAATCCCAGACTTCAGCCAAGCTGCCCTGGAATCAGATCAGTGCACACCCTAACACGAAGTCTTTAAGCACGGCTAATGTCTGGGGATGAATATTTTCCAAAAAGGTACAGAATAAGATTTTGAAGTATGACAGTGCCACAAATGGCATTGTGTTCCTCTCTTTGCTACCCTAATGGAAAGAAATGGGGAGGATGGCTCCTGGATTACTGGGTCTCCTTGAAGTTAGTTAAGCTGGTGGAAGATGTTGTATTTGTAATGCCCAGGATTTGCTACAGGGTTCTCTCTCCAAGGGTGTATCCTCCTGAATCAGCAGAAGTGGAAAACAGGTCTGTCTCACAGCTTACAATCCAAGCTGTTCAAGGCAGTCAGCAAACACTTGCCACATACTTGTGAAGCTGTGTATATGCTGTTTTCGGAGCCTTTTTGCACCTACTGATACCTGAACAAACAGACCCGAAGGAAGGGCGGTAGCAGAACCTTCTCCACAAAACTTCACCTCTGAGCTATTTTTGCACTGGCAAGCTGCAGGAGAAGCAACCAGCACACATGAACCTAGCATAGAAAATCTGGAGTCCCTACCTGAGGGAGCTATTAAAGAAGAGCTCTAAATTTTATACCAGATATTCTGTGCCTTGCTTGTTCTGATTTATTAAGAGTATATAAGATGATCCAATATTTGGCCACTGCTTTAAATCATAGGATTTTCCATCCTAAATGACAACCTTTGCATTTTATTAGTGTGACTGGGTCTTTGATAAGACCATATTATGTGCATATATCTTATCAGCAAGCTTTTGTACCTATTGTAAATAATCTTGGCAGTGGCATGACTACATCTACTGGCATATCTGAGAATATGATGCTGCTGTCCTGGGTCTCAGCAAGTACACACAGGGGGGAAGCATTTCTGGTGCAGTTGTGGTGCACTACAAGGGGAAGACATGCATTAGCAGAGCAGGTACTGTGCTAAAGTCTCCTGAATTCAATATCCTTTATTAAGACTGAATTTCTGTAAGCCATGGGGAAGACATTTAGCTCCTCTTTCATAATTTCTTCTTTCATTATAAGGGATGTTTTTGTTTTTCCCTCCCCAGGGAAGCACAAGAATTGATTGATTAAGGTCTATAAAACACCAAAGGTGGAAATACTGTGTAAATGCCAAGCTTGATTATTGCTACTCAGCCTTTCAAAGGAGCATCAGATTGTGTCTAGCCTTTTTGCTCAGCTGGATCTTCAGGGGTGAAACAGAGAGCTACACTTGAAAGCTCAGGAGCTGCCACTTGACAGTCTCCATTGGCACAGCAGGCAAGCATCTGCTGTGTTTCCTGAGCTGCTTTTGTTTTACTCCCTGTTAATTTCCTTTAGCTGCCTGTAGTTTACTGCAAGCAAGTCTTATCATTAAGGGTTTCAGTGGGTAGCCAGCATCGCCGATTTACTGCTGGATTTGTTGACTCCACCTAAAAGCCCCTTGACTCCAAAAGGCACAGTCTCCCTGAAGCCATTCTCCAAAGTTCCTGCCAGAACAGTGGTAAAACACGACTGGCAGTTTGGTTCATCCGAACAATGTCTCAGGAAGGAAATGTTGCTATCCAAGGAATGATTATGAAATCATTAATGTGTACTGAGCAAATTCCAGAAGTGAGGCTGTGTCTTCCTCTGACAGTGACATAAGAAGGCAGATATCTTCATTTCCAGAGGTGTTTCTGGTAGCTGTGTAATTATTTCCTCAACCTGCATTGCACAACATTACATCATGAAGCAAATTTCTCGTCTTCAGGGCTCAGTCACTGTGTCAGTGCCCCATTGAACTGGGTAGGTTTGAATCTCCTCTGATCTGTGGATAATCTTACTTCAAGCTTGCTCTGCTAGAGCTGTTCCAGCAAAAGTTGTGACAGCAAAGAGGCTGGCTACCTTGAAATAAAAATTGTATGACTTTTGTTCCTGACTAATTATTGTTCTTTTTAAAGATTAAATGTGGATAGAATGTTACAAAAGGTGCGTGAATTTCTCATTTCAGTAGGTGTGTGGCACCACTGGCGTTATCAGATTGTGAAAGATGTGACCCCAAGGCTCCAGCTGTTGCTTTTGGAAGAACAAGATATTAGTTAACTGCAGTTGGTACCACTTCTACTAATGGGCTATAAGGTGGTGGGATGTACAAAGCGAATAGATTGCATGGTTTCAAGGTCACCTTATTTCATGCAGAATGATTCTAAGCAGCAGGAGGAGCAGGTAAATGCCATCAGGAACTTGCAGCTATCATGAAGCCTCCAGGAAAATCATGGGAGTGGCTGCAGACAAAAGGGAAGGGTTGATGCTTCCTGCAGTCCTGCAGCCTTCTCTCCTCCCCTGAGAGTGTACTTCAGGAGAGATTAGCTGTTCCTCCCTTGCCAGGAGCTCAACGCAGTGTCTGGTCATGAGAGGAGTGTGTGTTTCACCGGAAACTGATGCAGCACAGTGCCGTTAAGATGCAGAGATTGCATCTGGACTTCAATTTTCAGTCTTTTCCAGCACTATTCTGAATACTTTACTGTAAGAATTCACAAATGCACTTTGTATTACTACGAATGTGACTGAGTAAAATGCACGATTCATGTTTCACCTTTAATGAGTGAACATTACACTGCTCTTTAATTTGGCTATCTTCCAAGTCTCATAATAATGCTTAATACTGAAGTCTGCTCATTTTCCACTGAGTTGACATCAAAATAATGCTGCTTCCAATGGTTTTTGGTATTGTGCTTTTTGTTTCTGAAACTTTAAACAATAATCTACTTTTTGTCTGCTTGGAAATTTACTGGGGCTCTCTTTTGACATTAATACATTATCTGACTCTGCATGACACCATCTGTATTCTAAGGCAAAAAAAAAAAAAAAAAAAAAAAGCCCTTGTTTACTTTCTAGAAGTGTTTCCCACTTCATATGTATTATCAGATGACCCTCCTGACCTTTTCTAGCACTCTAAGTAATTTTTCAGTTTAATGAAAGAATACGTTTTCTCTACAATTTATTGCTTGCTGCACTAGTTTAATTGATGAAGCAGAGAGAATCACTTCATCGAAATAGAATTTTTGCAGCCTTTACTAATTTAAGACATAATGTAGATAATGTGGGACGATGCCACATTTTCAGAGATTTGCCAGGTGGCTACATGGACTGTGATATAATTTAGATGAGTCCTCTGCTGCTAGAATCCTCTATATATGTGTGTTTTATGAAAGATCTTTAGTACATTATCAGCAGTTAAAGCAATTAGGAAACTTTCTATCAGATCAATATTTAGAGTTGTCACAGACTGATCCTTTTTTTTTCCTTTTACTCTACCAGTTAATGATTCTATAATCTCATCCATTACATACCAAATCACTACTCTGTGACAAGCCAACTTGGCTTGCTCATGCAAATATATTCAAATCTTCTTTGGTCTGGAAACAAGCTCTGAGATCTCACATGAGCAAGGCTTTGCTTAATTTCTCTAGATATAATCCAGAAAGTGCACAGATATGTAAAGCTGGAAAAAGGGGCATTTGAAGAGCAATGCAATTTCCATTTTGGGAAGAAGATCAGGTTAGGGACTTTTCTACCCACAGAAAAGAGCAGTACTTCTTGTCTTGTCATCACCTTCCCCCTGACCACAGTGAAATTTTCCTCTGTGGTTCAGAGGTAATTTTGCACCTGTAAGGAATACTGATGCTGACTGAATCCTGATACTGGTTTAAGAGCATGTTTACACAGGTTTTTGACTCTGCATAGAATACCTTCTTCTTGTACACAAAATTAGTCCATAGAAGATCTATTTTACCATGATCTTCTTTGGCTCTTAAAGACTGTGCATGAATAAACAACAATTGTCATCTATGTTCAATGTCATTCAGTTACAATGCAACTCTATTAAAAGTTCAAGCCCTAGGAATTGAAATAGTATAAAAACATAAAGAAGAAACAAAAATTCCTGGGTTCCCAGGGCGAGGCATGGTATGATTCAGGGAACTGGGAGAATTGCTTGTCTACTTAACTGTGCTTGTCTACTTAATTTGGGATACACGAAAGTGCTGCTTTGTGCCTCAAAGAAATTTTACCTTCTGCCCAACTGACAAGTTCCTTGAAGCAGAGGAAGTCTCTTACCATATTACTGAGTGCAACCACAGACAACAAAATACCTGTCTTACTCAAAAACTCCATGATAGTATCTCCAGTGCCAATAATATCTCCCATTTTCTGACAAGGAAATACTAGTAATTAAGTCCTTTGGACAGCTATTCCCTTATGAACCCAAAATAGACCGTGGTGATAATGTATTGGAATTATAGGATAGCCCTGCATCTGCAAAGAAGCCACATAAAGAATATCTGACAGCTTCCTTCCCTACCCCTAGAAAGGAGTCAACCTGAGATAACACCATGCGTGCTGATTTAAAATAACATTTCCTTTCTACGTTAGGCTTTACGAAAATGTAAACAGGTGTTACAAAGCTAATGTTACAGTCTGACACAATCCATTTGAACAACAGGCTGGGGCTCACCGTAGCTCTGCTGCAATGGAACCAGCCAGGAGGAAAGGAAACAGTAAGCAAGTTCCTCATAGAGCTACCTAAATTCTAATTCAGATTTTTTTTTTTCCACAGACCTTTCCATACTGCCTTGCAGCCCTCTATACAGCAGTCAGTGATGTGCTCAGAGAGGTGAACACCATTTCATGGGGCCTGTTTGTTATATTGCCACTCCTGCTACCATGTCTTGCTGAGCTGGTGAGCCTTGGTGAGATGTGTTCACGCAGGAAATTGCCACTCACTGAGAAGTGTGATTTCCTCTTTTTATCACAAAAAAATGTCAAAAGCATTCTCCATAAAGTTCTTCAGTTCTACCTCTCAAAAGCATAGGCCTCCAGCAATAGAATCTCAGCACTTGTGGGGCAAACTTCATGATTTCAGTGAATTTTCCCCAAGTCTGAGTCTGCCTCTCTGGGACTGGAGGCTGGTGCTTCACCTCAAGCTTTGGCTGAATTATTTTAGAAGTGATGTTTTGGGAGGCATGGAAATGAAAAACAGGACTGGAAATGAAACCCCATGCAGCGAAAAAAGAAATATCAAAGATGCAGGAATAATGAGCAAATACTGTATCTGCTTTGGGTAGAGATTGCTGTTACCTCTTAGGAAGAATAAATATCCATGGAAAATACAGGGCAGTGCTCTCCTAAGCATTCTTGGTGGTCTGAGCACAAACCTCATATTGAAAGAAAACCTTAGTGATGCGGCTCTTGAATACAAGTTTGAACAGACTGATGGCAGACTAACATCACAGTCTTAGTTTCTAAGGTCCCTGCTCATATATCCTCAACATGTAACTCATACAGCTGAAAATATATAGTCATGCTCTTAAAAAGTATTCTCATTTTTTAATACTTTGTTAATAATAATGACATGCATCCATGAACTCCATAGTTTGGGGCTAACATTTGCTAAAAGAGAGAAAATATTTTACCTTTCTGCAGAAGGATTGCAGCTTATCACCTCCCAGCTTTGTATCTACATCGCTTGCAGCATTCAGTGTAGCTCACAATTATCAGTCTCTGTTTTGGGAAAAAGATTTCACTGGATTTTGCAGTAGCCAAATCACCCTTGAAGAGTACTGGACAGCATTTCAGGAGAAAAAGAGATTACTGTGTGAGTGTATACAGTACATATTTTTCCCCTTAAAGTAAATTCTGCAGGAAACTGTTGGCTTTTCAAGATCTTCTGGGATGATTAAAAAGTTGTTAGATTATTTCTGGAGACTTTAATGGGTCAGAGAGTTTGGCCTTGTCTGAGCAGCTGCTCTATGGCCAGTGAATCTGGCTTCTATGGATATATGTCAGTAATGCAAATGAGCAATGCAGATGATCACCCTTCAGTGATGAATTAAAACACAAGAAAACAAACAGTACACTACTCTGCAGCTTGCTGTACTGTACATCTAACTTTTAGGGCACAGCTAACAGAAAAAGATCACACAGATAACCTCTGAAAGCAGCACACTAGTTATATGCCTTTTTTCTTTTCTGTCCTTTTTTGGCGGTATATGCTACACAGTTCTGACCTTCTGGTAGTGCTTTAATGAAAGCAAAGCTCACTGAACAATGCAAGGATACTGAAAAACAGTGCACAATCAGAGGACTAACTTTGCATTAGATCACACTGTCATAGTCAAAGTAAAGGTATACGTTTGCGATCTACCTACAGCACACCTGTATATCTCTTGTGTCTTGGATGACATACATATAAACACACAGTCACCAGCTGCCAAAGTCTTAGCTTCCTAATACATCTTCTGAATGCAGCTTCCTTGGAAAGCGCTACAGTGCTTCTGGTAATGACACCATGGTGTCCGAAATTGCACTTTACCATAATGATGGAGGTAATGAAGTCTGAATTACAGCAAAAATCTTGGAGAAGTGCTTATGATATCCTCTACTTGTGGCAAATGTGTTCTTCCTGATTAATGCTCTTATAGTAAAACAGCATGATGATGAGGCCATTAATTTTAAAACTCCTAAAGTAAAAACCTAGCTGATTGAGTGATGCTCTGTGACATCATTTGTTAATGTCTTTTCTTCAGAGGAAAGAGAACCATTGAAATAGTAGCAGATCTCTTAAGCTAAAGAGGTACTATTTCATGAATAAAAAGTAACATATTAGTGTACATCAAACCCAGTATCACATCATTATTGAAAATACTTTCTGCTATAAAAAAGCAAGGCATTGAGTACAGTACTAGTAATTAACATTCTTAAAAATCTCATCAATAATTCGTATTAACTGCTGCCTGCTGCTTTTTTTTTTTTTTTTTTTTTTTTTTGTTAACAATACATTTACAAGGAACGTAGGAAGACTGAATCTGAACAACATGAGATTTTTATTAAAAAGTGCATGCATAAACGTTGTAAATGTTGTTCCACAACTTTTCTCAGTGTGATTCCTTCCTGCTATACTTGAAGCAGAACAGTAAAAGAGCAGGCTAGAAGACCTGGCCACTTTGTGGATATTGCAGTAGGAAAGTATCTTTAAATACAGATACTTTGTTATTCTTACAAATTGCTCGTGGTTTTATTTCTCCTGTAACTTTGCAAACCTTCATTATGGAATGACATAATCAACTTGATCATCCCACATGAGTTGTATAGAAAGACCAAGGATCTAGCAAAATCTTTAGAACATTTCTGATTTGTTTGAAGATCTGATAGAAAATAGAAGCCAGTATGTTTTTTTTTTTTTTCTGCTGAATCATTCAAAGATGAATGAAAGTCATGTTCAGTTGCTCTGCTTTTTAATGTTTCACAAAAATCCTTAACAGGCATGCTATTAATTCTGTTGATGTTTGTTTGCAGATCACAGTAACCAGAAAACAAGTGGGTAGTGAGAGTGATCAAGCCTCATCTGGATATTAAGGCCTCCTTCCTTCCTTCCTTCCTTCCTTCCTTCCTTCCTTCCTTCCTTCCTTCCTTCCTTCCTTCGTGCCTGCCTGCCTCCCTCCTCCCTCCCTCCCTCCCTTCCTCTCTTCCTCTCTTCCTTTCTTCCTTCCTTTCTTTTTCTTCTTTTTTTAATTTTCATTATAAACAACCTGACTGAAAAGGGAGAAACATGTAGAGAAGGAAATGTAAAAGAGTTAACATGTAGGCAAAGAATATTGTGAGGCAGTCCCTAGCACTAATCATGCTGCAGTTTGCTCAGCAAGGCTAGAATCTGTGAAATAATTTGTTTTAGCATTGTTTTTTTTTTTTTTTTTTTTTTTTTTTTTTTTTTTTTTTTTGTCACACTGGATTAGAAGATGTGGAAATGATGACTTTGACAAAAGTATGAAAACTTGCTTGCTGTAATTGTGCTGATGTCAACTGTATTACAAATTCAGTTAATGGGCTCCTGTAGAGGAAGGAAATATATTTCACCTTCTTTTCCATAATGAATACTGTGTGATCATTTGAGCTCCCACTTAAATTGTTGGTACATTTTGGAAGAGGAGGTAGTTTTTCCCTCTTTTTATTTTCTTCTGCTGTTACTTGCTAAGAGATCATGAAAAGGAGAAATGCAAGCAATAAAAGAAACAGAAACAGTACAAAGATTTAGATGGAACATTTTTCAGTTGTATCCATGAGAAAGCAATCTTCAGAAACCCACAGAGGCAAATCCAGATTTAGAAAAAAGAAAAAAAGTCACTTTGGCTATTTGCAAATCTTACATTTTGAGAACTAATTTCTCAAAGTTAAGTGGACTTGAGAGTGTAATAGTAAGAGGTTTAGTTTCTAACCTCTTGTTTATTTGCTCTGGGTAAGGGAACTTGAATTTAACTCTGAGACAAAGAATACCTTAAATAGTCTCCTGAGGACTCTCATTCTGGTCCCATTTCCTCAATTAAGGTGGCTGGATTTCCATTTCTCACTTGTTTTACACAAAGCTCCCTAAAAGCTGTGATTATGCTGATGATTCAAATTGTCGTTCCCAGGACCATGGCAATCTGTAGTCTTGAGAACTATTTGGATCCTTTCAAAAGGACAGGAAGCAGGCAGAAAAAACTGTCACTGCCACCATCTCCCAGTAGTGAAGGAGAGAAAATGATGCCACATGGTACAGAGACAAAAACATGAATTCTGATTTACCATTCCTCCCTGATGCAAGTTACATGTTTCCTTCCACAGCCTACAGCAACCTTCTCATGTCTGCAGTTTTTCAACAGTTGACCTTGTCATCTACAAGCAGCCTTGTCTCCCTCACATCTGACTTGTTCCTCTTCGCTTCTGGGCAACAAGTCCCCAGGTAAACCTGCCATTTCCAGGAGGAGGTATAATGCAATGCATTTTTGCATTTATTTGGATAAATATAGGAGAAATATGTAGTTAATAGACACTGCATGAAGAAAAGAGCAATTGATTTGAATTGAAGTTGATCATAGGTAAGTTGATGAGCTTGCAGGGAGACTTGCAGTCATGCTAGAGAAAACAGAATTTCACAAAAGGAAACTGGAATTTGACCTTTCAGTCATATTTTATTAGAGTACTTCGTGCAGGTAGAAGCATGTCATAGCACTATCTACTCTAATGTCAGTCTGCTTGGTTGTTGCCTGTGTCCACATGGAGATCTGTCACAGTCAGGGAAGCTGACAGTGGCCTCTGGGAATATTTGAAGAGCTAAGTTCAAGTGCATTTCTTCTAGAAAAGTGAAGCATGCTGATAACAGCAACATGCTCACTTGCTGGTTTAGTTATTTCTTGCCCTGTTCATAAGAAATATAAATGAAAGAACTGGCAAACAGAAGGCGACACTAAAAGTGGAAGGCATGTTGAACATGATTGTAACAATTTATTTGAAGAGAGTTTAATAAAATACTTGGAAGCATTCCTTCTTGGAAAATAGAAGACCAGAAAAATGTCCTCTTAGGTTAGCAGAAACTACGAAGTCTTTGGTGTAGGCAACAAAGCATGCAAATACTGCAAGGGATCAGAGCCACATCAGTGCAGTTTATGATCAGTAAAGGCATACTTCAGTTAGCATAGAGTATGCTCTCTGGTGACAGTGACAGGGCCCTGAGGGAATGACAGAGAGCTGTCAGGGAAGGGGCAGCTGGTGATTAGGGAAAAGGTTCTTTACATGAGGGCAATGGGCATGGAAGAGGCTGCCCAGGGCAGTGTGCACAGTCTGCCAAGTGCTGGAATTCAAGGAGCATTTGGACTATTAATTTTGGGTGGTCTGGTGGAGCTAGGAAATGGACTTGATTCTTGTGGGCTCCTTCCAACTCTGGATACTCTGCCGTAAAAAGCATTATTTAGGTCAATAAATAAACTGGTATATACTGGTTACCATGCAGAGATAGTAAAAATATTGACTACTTTAACAGTGCTTGGAAAAGATCAGTAATCTTACTGAAATGTTTGGTTCAACAAAAAGCAGAACACAATTAGCTTAGCTTCTGCAGGAAAATCAGCATTATTTTCAGTCACCTGCACTCTGAAATATTAGAAATGAGTTCAAGAAACTTTGATTGGGATAGGTGTCTCAAAAATATATGAATGCACAGAAGTCCTGTGGGAAATTAAAAATTGGCTGGCTGTCAGAGACGCTTTCAATGTGGTTTCTCCACTAATATGACATAAAAAATGAAATTCAGCTACTTCCCTTCTGGCTGTCCATCAGCTATCCCCAGTAAGTAACCTGGAACCATGCTGTCTTAGTTTGATAATATGGCAAGTGGAGATGTTCCAGGGATACAAAGAGAATCTGAAGACAATGCTGGGTATGGGAGAGAGAAAGAAAGCAAATTATTATGGAGACATGAGTGCAGAGGCATAGGACACAAATCTATACAAAACCAGGCTCATTTTCTTGTTTCAGGAACTTTCTTTAAATGTAAAATAATATGTATCAGACACAAAACAAGAGTTAATCAGATAGTGCTCCAGTTGCAAGGTTCTCTCTATACATTTAACTGGGAAGCTCTGTAGATCTTAGACTTTATTAGCGTGAGTTTTTCTACTGACTTTAAAAGAGCATTAGTTACATTACTACTTTATAGTGTTATTCAGCCAAATATTAACTTTTCTGAGACTAGAAAACACAGGTTTGGGGAAAGAAAAAAAATGCTACTGAAAGCTGATGATCTTTAGTTACGAAAAAAAACAAACAACGAAACAAACAAAAAAAAACACCACCAACAACAAAAAACTCAGCACAGTTATATTTTAGTTACCTGGGTGAAGGGTTAAGGTTAGGATACGTGGTCAAAGGTGAGATACCTCTTTTGATAAATATGTTTTATTTATCTCAGAGATCCAGCTCCCCAGGCTTGTGGAGGAAAGACCCAGCTGCAGAAAGACACTGCAGACAGCCCCTGCTCTCAGAGAAGGCAGGACACCCGAGCAGATTTTGAAACAGTGTGAGAAGCCTATATCATGAATAACTGAGAAAGCAACCCTGGAGGCTGAAGCTTCTGTTTCTCTCAAAAGTGAATTTCACATGCTATTTTTTTGGTGGATTTTCACATTAGTTTTTTTTGTGAGGGTAGAGAAGGAGAGTGGAATTGAATTACAATATTATTTCCAAGTGAGTTGCTATATATTTGAAAAAACTGGTACTCTTTTATGTCAATTTACAGAATTTTAAACTGCTGGTAGTAATATCTTGACCTCTTTTGGTCCAGTGAAACTTATCACAGCCATGTGATACATTTCCTCCAGAAAATCTCAAGATTAATACAAATGGTTTTCTTAGTTCTTAAGTGGCTTCTAGAATAGAAACAGTGTTTCTAAACTAGGAATGCTTAGCTGACATGTGGAGAAACTCAGGATTAAGTCTTGTTTTCAAACCAAATTATTGAAAACGTTCTTAGCTGTAATCTGAAAGTGTTATGTAGAGTATATTTATACAACCCCAATGGCTATTCAAGCCTTGATATTCACTGTCACAGCACAATTCAGAAAACTTAACTCTTGTTTTAAGTGTATCTACAGTAGAAAAGTGAGTTTGTCTTACATGTTTTAGAAGGTGCTATCTGGTCTGAATCTTCAGCCAGAATGTTTGTTGCACTAAAATTCATTTCATCTCCTCAATGTAAACCCCACCCACTCACTTATCTGCATGCTCTGTGAATCTCAGGCATGCAAAGCACTCACAAAATGAGATGTATGAAAAGGCCTTGCCTAACTTCAAGCTTTGTTTTTAGGCAATCAACACCTGGGACTTCAAGCTACTGTGACAAAAATGTAGGAAATGTTCTGTCACAGAATGCAAACTCCTTTGGCAGTCCTGACTGATGGACATCAGAAAGCCCTCATGTCTCACATTTATACTTCCTAACCTTGTGTGTGTGCTTTTTATCCTTAGAAAATGCAGTATCTCATGATCCTTTAAATAAAAAAATGACCTTATTCCTTTTAATGTTGTCATTAAGAAGTCTAACGTTCCAGGTATAAATTCCAGCTACTACTGTGCACCTTCGTTTGTTATTCATATGTGAATCCCTTTGGGTTCCCAATTACTATCCAGCAACAGCAATTGGCTCTTGAAATTATTCCCACAGGACTGACTTTGTAAAGGACACTGCAATTTACATCTTAGTTCCCTAATTACAGACACAACGCTCGATAAACCGTGAACAACTAGTAATTGGAAGCTAATGGTTACTCTCACTGAATCCCTGTTGACACAGATTTTGTTGCCCAATAACTGACCACAAGTGGGTCATGTGAGAAGGCAGGAGTGAAGAAGGAGTATTAAGGTCATATGCTACCAGTGGGAATTCACTGGAAAAGGTCTCTTATGAAGTGGGGCCTTAACAACCTCAGTTTGTTACAACTCGGCACACAACATCTGAAACACCACACGTGCTACAACTGCCTCTCCCTGCTGGGGTAAGAAATAGCAGATGATATTTGTGAGGGAAGGTGGGATGGGTTTCAAAGGGCTTTTTGCCCTGCTCTGAGTGCTGGTATCTTCTCTGCAAGTGCAACATAGCCATAAAATACCTTGCACTGATTTAGTCAAAGTCTTGGCGCTAATGCTATCTCAAGAGCGAAATGTTTTTGCTACTTTCCTTGCATTTTCTCCTTCCACTCCCCACCTCAGAATCAAGCCCTTTAGAACACTAAGAAGATAACCAAGATAATAATTTACTTGACCTTATCAATATTCCTTTTCATCAAGTGCAAAGCAAAATATTTTTATCACAATAAAGTTCATTCTAATGATGTATTTATTATTGTTCCCTCATCCAAATATAAATGCAGACCTCTGAAAAAGAGCACATAACATCACACACATTCCAGCTGATTACATAAATACTGTAGGATTGCTTAGTAAAAATGATTGCTTGTGAAAAACATTATCAAGAAAGGGTCACTGTAATTTCATGATAAATGCTTTTTGTTAAGGCAAGTAAGAAGAAAGTTTGTGTGGAATTGTATCAGAACTGCTGTACGTTTATCACTTTTTTGAAGCAGAACCTTTTATGAACTAATTCTAAAGCAAAATCAATAATCTTAAAAAATAATCCAGTATTTCAAAACTTCCTTATTTTGCATCAGCCCTGTTACCTGTTCCATTAATATTGTCATCATAAAACTATGACGTAAGAAGAGCCACTCTGACTGAAATGTTTTAAATTAAGATAGTGGAGATTTAGATTAGATATTAGGAGGAAATTTTTCACACAGATGGTAGTGGCATACTGGAAAAGGTTGCCCAGTGTGGATTTGTGGGTTGTGGATGCCCCATCCCCAGAGGCATTCAAGGGCAGGCTGGATGTGACTCTGGGCAGCCTGGTCTGGCGACCTGGTTGGTGACCCTGCCATGGCAAGGGGCTTGAAACTAGATGATTTTTGAGGTCCTTTTCAACCTAGGCCATTCTATGATTCTGTGATAAACATATTTCCCTGCCATGTCCCCGGAACTTTCCCACCATCTACCCTACAGGAAATCCTGACCCTGGTATGGTTTTCTGAGTAACCTGCTGTCTTCTGAACATTAATCCCATCTTTCTATGGTGGGATACAAACATTTTTTTATCCTGCTTCCTCTGGGAAGGAACCTCACAGACCTGCTACCTGCTGAGTGAAAAAACACCTCCTTTTGTTTGTATTAGACTTAATTCCTTTGATAGTCTGCAGGTTTTGCACTGAAATAATGTTGTCCTTATTTCCAAGGGAGTTTGGTGATTCATTTTCCAAGTCCCTGGCATGGCACTTCCTGGATGTTGTACAAGACCCATTTTAAGCAGACATGCACACCAATATTGATTTTTTAGTCTGTTGCATGTTGCAT